ATTATTTATCTTAAATTTCCTCAGTTAAAAAAAAAAATTTTAATTGGTAAAAAAATCTCCCTGAGAAAAGTAATTATTATTAATTGCAGAAACAAATTCAAACAAAACAACTATTAAATTAATTTCATGTCTACTTCAACAATGAATACCTCTAGGTTCCTTCTGCAAGCATTTTCATGTCTTTTGAGAGAGGCAGGTGTGGTAAGCTCCCGACTACAAATTTCACACTTCAGTTGCTTTTTCAGAGGTACAGAACTTGAATCTTTTTTCCTAGCACTTTTAGGTTGTGACTTTGATTTTGAATGTTTTTTTATGTGAGCTTGTAGTTTCACCTTACTAGGAAATGCCAAGTTACACTGTTTGCAACTAAATTGCTTGGGAGGCATGATGAGTATTTATAATATTGTGACCTAGAAAAAAGGAAAAACAGAAATTTTCATGAAGCAAACAAATTTATTTGACACCACACAACTCAAAGTTTATATATATATCACTGTTTGCACTTCTAGCATCATATATTCATTTCAAATTTTTTATTTTATTACATTCAGTACAATCTTGAATAGCTTGAATTTTTGCAAACTTTTAGTACTTTACATATGCAATAAAAGAAAAAATAATACATTCACGTCTATTATTTACTACAACTACCTCCAAAATTGAATCTTTTTTTACTTTAACTTTACAGTCTTAAATTACAACATGTAGCATTAATTTTCATGTGCCTATATTGATATTTATAAAATAAAACACTTTATCCTATGTACAAGTCAAAATTATTTAATATTTTTTTCTAATTAACTGACCACTTTCTAAAAAAACTGATATAGTCACCATATGTGCACTTAACATTAAAAATGTCAAAGTGTTACCAAAAGCACTTGTCTATGTGCATCTGGTTTATTGTATGGTTGTCAAACCTTCACTAAACCACTGCCATGTACCTGGAATTTTATACCACCATGAAGAGAGGCTATTCCTCTACAAAATCCTAAAATTAACCAAATACAAGTTTCATGTAAATAATAAAATATTAAAATGAGTATTTCATTTTTTATTGTGTTTCCTAAAAATAAACTTGACACTGGGAGAACTGCTTATCTGTAAATGTGGCAATGAAATAGTTGAGGAACATAAAAAGTACCCAAGTGATCAATAACACTGTCGTTCATTAAACTTGGAGAATAAATAACAAGTCATATCTTGAGTAAAGTTAACAACTGCTTTGATTATCAACACACTGGTGACTCGGTTATTAGTGGATGGAAATTTGATAGATAGTTGGGGGCCGGCTGTCACTAAGCTAATGATTATCAACACACTGGTGACTCGGTTATTAGTGGATGGAAATTTTATAGATAGTTGGAGGCCGGCTGTCACTAAGCTAATGATTATCAAGGAGCACTAGCATTTTTTTCCAGTTGAAAATTCAAGTGATTATGAAAATATAGACCTGTATAAATTATTAGAAAACAAAAGCTGGGTGCAAACAAAACATTTATGGTAAACACCATAATACAATAATCGATCCATGTTCTTAGTGGCTCATTATTCTCATGCATCCTTTAGTGAGATTCTCCAAGGTCAAATAGTAAATAAAAACAGCTCTTTCAATCAGTGTTTCAGTTTTCTATAATCTATTTCATTCATCCCTGCAAGAATTCTTATCACAAAACAGAAAAAAAAATAAAATAATGAAATAATACAAACACTGGTCATGCTAATCTTTAATTAAAATATTATATTTTTTAAAACCCAGTCTGTGAGTCAGGGAGACCTTTGGTGGGTTGATTTCCAAACAAAACTTTCTCTTGGTAGTTTCTTTCAAATTCTGAATAGAAATTTGAACTTTTAATATCAAAAATTTGAACTGCCAACCAGCAAATTCATGAGTTTCCAAATGATGAGGGAGTAAAACCTCATACTCAAATCAAAACTCCCACACCAAATATGGTAATGGCTTCACATGTTGAGCAATACAAGACCTTGCTTTTTAAGAGGTACCCACTTAACTTATGAACAATGTGAAGTTTTGAAACATCTATTATCCCACAAATAGCTGTTTCAAAACTTCAATACAAGACCTGGTTCCTCAGCCCCATAATACCATTTTTTCCCATGGTTTTCATGAATTTTGTTAGTGGAGACGTCAGACACAGGCTTAGTGAAGCTTACTTGTCACAATAACGTGGCTAAGTGCTGTACTTTCCTGAACATGAACTCTGCATCTTCGCAGCCAAACACTAATGAGAGGAGAGTTCTTTTGTTAGTGAAGTATAGTTTTTTTTTTTACATTTACAGATCAGACCCTCTATCAGAATACATTTTTTTTTGGTTCTTACTTGAATATCAGAAACCATGGCATTCCATCTGTACCCCACTTGTTCCCTCAAATTAGCTCCTTGAGTCACAGACTGAGTGTTAAATGCCTTCTAAAAAATGTGTTTTCATTCATAAAGCCTACTTTTTCTTAGATACTGTATCAAAATAGTTATTTTTTGATGTAAAAAATTTCAGATGAACTAGTTTAACACAGAAACAGTAATATATCACCTACTGCCTAACATACAATCTTCAGACATATGCACAGTAGTACATGGGATACTGTACATCTCTAAAGCTACGGGTTATGATCGTGCACTTTTCTAGATGTGTTATTCCATATAATGCAACATCGTTTTACATGTTCATAAGCTTGTTTACAATAGTGTTTGAGCCTTAAATGTTGTATCAATAAGTATGCAGTTACTCAAACACTTTGTAATCAACCAAGGGAAATAAGTTTGATGTCTACCCTCTAATTTAATTTCATGAAGAAGTGACAGAACCAAATAAAAATTGTTTGTTTCTTTAGGGCAAAGCCACACTGATCTATCTGTTGTGTACACCAAAGGGATACCCCTCCACTGAAAGACACACATTGCAAAAGGGGAAGTGAAGGGTGGCTGGTTTTGTGAAGAGATGAGTATCTATCCAAAATGCATTTTAAGGAAAATGTTGAGTGCAATTTTAAGGCTGCTCAACCATCCTATTATCCCAGGAGGCCATGTATGTAAGTGTGACTATGGCACCACATCAAGCCATATAGTTCAACCATCCTATTATCCCAGGATGCCATGTATGTTAAGTGTGACTATTGCACTACATCAAGCCATATAACTCAACCATCCTATTATCCCAGGTGGCAATGTATGTTAAGTATGACTATGGCACTACACCAAGCCATATAGATCAACCATCCTATTATCCCAGGAGGTCAGGAGGCCATGTATGTTAAGTGTGACTATGACACTACATCAAGCCAGGTAGTAGGTGAGAAATATCAAACACCCCCTGCAACTTGGTACTGGGTAAATTAGTTCTCCCACTCCACTAGAAGAAATTGGAGGGAAGGATTCACACATGGAACAACATGGACTGAATAGAAATAATCTCATAATCTGCATAAGGTCAAACACTGAGCAGGAACCAGCTGATTGAGTTTTTAACTTGCATGTGCAGTATGGCTTGAAAGGTGTGTGTGTGTGTGTGTGTGTGTGTGTGTGTGTGTGTGTGTGTGTGTCGTGAGTACGTCGACCGAAGGCGACGACGGAGGGGTAGTAGG